TTTGCCACTGTTTTCCTGAAAGATCCACCTCTCCTCCCTGGAGCGTGGTCTCCTCATCTGTAGGTTAAACTGACAGCTTTCAGTGAGGTCCTATTAAGTTGCATGTGGCAGAGGAAGGTGTTCAGAGCCCAACCTACTCGTCCCCACCCCACCCCTGTTGACGACGGTTTACTGTGTTTTCTCTTGTGACACCTCACAACAGTCTACAGAACCAATTTCCACAGACCACTTTGGGAAGACTTGCTCTCATTCAGAGTCAGCAAACATCTTCTGGAAAGGACCAGATAGTGAATATTTTAGTTTTTGCAGGTCATCCAGTCTCTGCCGCAACTACCCAGTGCTCAGGTTGTAGCATGAAAAGAGCCAAGCAAATGAAAGGGTGGGGCCATGTTCCAAGTACAACTTTATTTACAAAAATAGGCAAGAGTAGGGTTTGGTTCAAAGGCTGTGATTTCCAACCCCTGAAATCCAGCTGTCGTGTCAAAGATTGAAAAGCACGACTAGAAAGTTTGCAAGGCTGTTCGGCGCCTCAGAGCCCTGGGCAGATCTGGGACAGGCTCTCAGCCCCTGGCGGATGCCCCGGCTCTTTCTGCTTTGCTCAGCACCTCTTTTGACCTGCAAGAGAGACGTGCCTTCCTTAGCTCCTTCCTCAATAGCGGGCTGGGGGAGAATTGATTCCATTATTGCATTTGGTCTAAAGGCAATCGTATTATACAGATCGGCCTCGTTATTCATGTTCAAAACTGGAGAAACAGAGGCATCAACAGACTTACCCCAGACAAATTAGGGCTAATTCTTGTAATAAGAGCAAGACATATTATTTTAGTTACATTAACTCACCAGAAGCCTGTGTTGCCTTTTATCCAAGGCCCATGGTGATGCCTAGACCGCAGATGAAATTCATTCACTCCTTCCTGCAGCCAACACTTCCTGAGTGTATGCTGAGGGTCTTGCCCTGTGCTAGGTGCAGAGATAAAAAGGTCCTGGCACTATGCCAAAGGGAATCCCTTCACAGTGTCAGAGGGAAAGCCAGTGTGAGTTACAGTGGTGTCCCCTAGAGATGCCCAGCCCCTATTCAGAGGCATAGCACTGAGATCCTGGAATTGCATCCAATCTTGCTTTAACTGTGTGGACTGGACTTGAGCTGGTCATTTAGCTCTCTCTCTGTTAAACAACTTACTTGTCTCTTAAGTGGGAATTATAATAACTTGTACCTCACACAGCTGTTGTGAAGATCAAACGAGGTAATGTGCAGAAAATCACTTTGTAAGCCAGAAAGCATGACACAAAGACACACACTTTACACCACACTTTAGAGCCCCACTTCCTAAACTCACATTCTTTCTGCTACACTAGTGGTTCTAAAATGCTGTTCCAAGGACGGGCTATCATGCAATCACCTGAGAAGGTTGCAAAGATTCCCAGACTCCATCTGCACCTACTGAAACAGAATGGATTCTGGAATTCTGTATTTTTTTAAATGCCCCCTAGGTGATTCCGAAGGGAACCCAGTGTGGCAGCCAGTCATTAGCACAGCTTTGACAGTCTAGAAGCATGTGGTAGATCTAGAACCATGGACTCGTGTGTGCTGGTCTTGCCTCTCAAGGTGGGCTTGTGGCTTTCAGGGTCCTTGTGCTGTATCTGGGAAATCTGTACAGTTTGATCATTGCTCTCCTGGACAAAGTTAACAGCATGAGCATTGAGGTGAGTGTCCCACCCTCGGCAGTTGCCTGTCACCCCAACCCTCCCCACCCCACCCTCCACACACCGGATCATCATCGCGGTCGTCAACACCACTATTCACTTGCACTCCATACATCTTGTTCAAAACTCAACTCGGTGTGGTCTTCTCAAGTAAGCATAGAAAGATTAGGTCCCACTTCCTAGATAAAGAAACTCAGGCTGGGGTTCATGGCTAGTCAGTGACTGTGCTGGGATGAGAACTGGGGGCTTTTGACTCCACGTCTCCTTGTACCATATTACCCCTTTCCTTGAATCTCATTGGGAGATCTATTGACGGCTATTCCAAATGATCCCAGGAAGAGCAGCAGGCCATGGGGAAAAATTGGGAGAGAGTAACCATCTCACAGAAACAGTTCAGAATGGGCACCCCCATGCCAGCCCGGCGGGAGTACCCACTCCAGCCGAGGGTAGCTTTGCTGCCCACTCTCATCCTGTTCCACCTGGAAGGAAATCCTGAGTAGTGGTGATGGGGAGGTCGGGAGGGGGAGATTTCTTAGGGTTGTTTGCCCAAGGCATACCATACTAGCATCAGATTTCAAAGCTTATAGGCAGAAGAAACCGTGCATAGTAATTTTTCTGCATCAAGGACCCTGGTACTTACCTGCCACTTCCTAGCAGCATGACCTTGAGCATTACGCCTCCACTCACTGAGCTTCAATCTCCTTGTCTGAACATGGGGTAATAATCCTTACCTGAAACTGTCTTGTGAGGTTGAGGAGAGATAACATGTGCTGCTTAGAACAGTTACTGACACTTACTAGGGACCAGCAAATAATATCCATTACATCTACTGTTCCATTATTGGGGCCAATTCTAGTCAAATGGATGCAGAGAAAGAGAGACAGAGAGACAGAGAGAGAGACAGAGAGAGAGAGAGAGAGAGAGAGAAGAGAGAGAGAGATGTGAGAGAGAGGAGAGAGGAGAGGGGGGAGGGAGAGAGAGAGAGAGAGAGAGAATGTTTATTTCCCAAGAAATGCAATGATTCCACCTTTGGTATCTATGATGAACTCTTATTTATAAATAAGTGGACAGCTTTTTTTCTTTCTGCCCTCCCTCCCTCTTTCCACAGGAAGGTACTACCAAAAATAACACAAATCATTGGACAGAGTTTACCACCTTCTTTGCCACCAGGACAGCCCCTGAAGAGAAATGGTCCATGCCTCAGCCTGGAACAGGGCTCAGGAACAACAGCACGTGGGCCTTGGAAGAGGCGGGTGTTCCAACCATGCCTCTCACAAGAGCCAACAAGACCACCATCTACACCCAGAGCCCGCAAGACCAATGCTGGGAAACATACGTTGGCCAGGTGTCTCCCTGCACCCCTTACCAAGCCCCTTCACATCCATTCCATCACTTAACCCCAGCAACTTCCTGAGGTGTCATTGTCCTTATTTTATGGAAAACAGAAGTGCAGTTCAGTGAGATTTATGATTATCTAGATTTCAAAATTAATAATAATAATAATCAGTGCAAAGACTCATGCAATATTAACTGTGTGCTGGGCCACGTTATGAGCAACTAGTCCTGTTAAGAGTCCTATTACTATCATTCTTATAGGAACAGATGAGGAGACTGAGGCACAAGTGGTTAAGTAACTTGCCCAAGGACACAGATAGTAAAGAGCAGAATGAAGACCCACGCCCAGGCATCTGCTCCAAAATCTGTGCCTGTAACCATTTTGCCTTTCACTTTGATACTTAATCTTGTTCAGAGCATCTCAACCCTGAGGTATTATCCCGTTGGAATGAGTCACGGGCCACAGGAGACTTAGATTCTTTCCAAGTTTCATGTAATGCTGATTTTGAATATCAAACTTCAAATTCAAATTAAATATTTATTGAGCACCCATTATGTGCCAGAAGCCCATCCCTCTGCCCACTGCCCCTTATAAAGATGTGCAATGAAGATGCCACTGGAGGGCCCACTGGGTCAGGCCCATAGGAGTGCACAGAGACTGCAGGACCCTGAAGGAAGAGGTGGGTAGTGGAGGGGCAGGGCGTGGTGGCATCCGAGGACACCCTGTGTTGCAGGAGATGCTGAAGCTCTCCATCATTGATATGCTCTTCACCGTGGCGAGCATTCTGCTCATAGACTTCTTCCGAGGACTTTTCGTTCGGTACTTAAGTGACTACTGGTGTTGGGACCTGGAAAGCAAGTTTGTAAGTAAAATGCCTCATCCATTGGGGAAGTTCATATGGCTAAATCCAAACTTCCTGATGCCTAAGCTGAGAGAGGGACAGGAGAAGGGTGTACAAAGCTGAGTTTCCTCCTCCTCCTTATATTTTCCATTTTCTGGGATGGCCACATAGGCCATGATCTCTAAGTATCTATAAGACCAAAGAATTCTGTACACGTGACTATAATGAACTGGTTTATGCCAAAAAACTTTGGAACTTTTCTTAATGCAGCAATTAATTTTCTCTTGTAGCCTGAATATGGGGAATTCAAAATAGCTGAGAATGTGCTTCATTTAGTCTACAACCAAGGAATGATTTGGTACGTATCAAAGCTGCATCTTGTCTTTGCTTACATATCATCTGGGCTAAGATTTTAATTGACTTTGGATGGGACATGACCATAATAAATACAGTCATAAGCATTAAGAAAGGTTGTTTCCAAGGGAACTATTTCACATGTATAATAAGTTTATTAATGATTTTCTAATAAATTTGCAGAAAGGAATGATAAAGAAAATAGCCCATTTTTAAGCCATTATTGGTCACAGTCACACACACACACACACACAAATCTGCCCAGGAACCAGTAGAATAAGCTGCTGGAGAACTGGGGAAGGCTGGGAGGAGAGGCGACTTCTCCCAGCGAGGGCTTCAAGAGTGGTTCTGGTCCCAGCTGGGGAACTTGGCCATTCCTGCCCTCACTCCCCACTCTACCTCCTACGTGACTCTTTATTTTCACATTGACACTGGACCCAGGAGCAGAGCCGTCCCCCAGACTGACAGACCCACTCGGGGGAAATGCCAGAAGCTTGGGAACTCTGTTCACCCAGGCCACCTCCCAGGCCAAGGCAAGCCTGTTCCTAAAGACACTAAAGAGCGGAATGAGGTCATCTGATCCCCAGGCATGTGTGGTCCTGTGGGCCTGGTGGAGAACTCGTTAAGTAATCGCACAATTTCTGGTGTTACCTATCGGACCACAGATAGTGCTATTTGTTAAAATACAGGAAAACAAAAAAAAAGAACATTGGATATTTCATACACTCAGAAAACACCATCTCTCTTCATAATAAGATTTATGAGATTAATTAGATTAATAGGATTTATTGAGAGGTATAAAGTAATACTCCTCCAATCAAATTCTATATTCTTATAGTCTACTGCATTTTGCAAAATATCTTCACAATACAGTATTAAAAATAATATGTAACATTTATTTAATATGTGCTAGATATCAGGTACTTCTATGCCTGTAATAACTGATTAAATCCTTATAGTAACACAATGAGGTAACCACGACTATTTCCCCCATTTTAAAGATGAAGAACCTATAGGTACAATTAATATGTGTCAATTTAAAAATAAACAAATAAATAAAATATAAATGAGGAAACAGAGGCACAGAAAAGCTTTATTTATTTATATTAGCATATTCATTACTACAAATCGTAATTATTCTTTATGCCCCTTACCTGACCAATCACTCCCCTCCCTCCCTCCCTCCCCCCCATCTCTAATATCCTTAGGTTTGTTCTCTCCTTTTGAAAGTTCAACATATTATTGTGGTCTTTCTTTTTCTTTCTTTCTTTTTCTTTCTTTCTTTCTTTCTTTCATTCTCTCTCTCTCTCTTCTTAGCACCCAGTTATGGATAAGAACATGTGGTATTTCTCTTTCTGTGTCTGGCTTATTTCACATAATTTTCTCCAGTTTCATCCACGTTGCTGCAAATGGCAGAATTTCATTCTTTTTTATGGCTGAGTTGTATTCCATTGTGTGTATACACCACATTTTCTTTATCCAGTTGTCCGTTGATGGACAGTTAGGTTGGTTCCATAGTTGGCTATTATAAATAGAGCTGCAATGAACAAAAAAACAGAAAGTCTATCTTGCTGAACATAAAACATAGTGACATTTCTGCCTGCCATGAGAAACCAAACATTTTAAAAACATTTTTACCTATTAAACATATCCTTATATCTATACTTATTTTTCTACCACTAAATCCAAATTCCACAAGTATTAGATCAAATGCACATCCAGTATAAACTGATTTAGACTTAAAGTTACACCTGGTTTTGTTCCATATTTGACATTTATTTGTGGGATGACTACACGTCCCAGTTTCCCTGGGATGGTCTGTTTCTTGCCTGTTGGCCCAGTTTCCACTCTCAGCACTGTCCCGGTTTGGAGGATATAAGGTCACCCTGCTGGTAGCAACATGTCTTTGGGCAAATTACTTAAGTTTCCCAGACCTGCCTTTCTTGTTTATAAACTTTGAATATTTACCTCTCCTTTCATAATTACAGAAGATTAAGTGAGCTGAAATGTGTGAGGCTGCTCAGTGCAATGTCCAGCAAAAGTAGGTTCTCGACGTACGTGGATTAAACCTGAACGTCAGTAATTTATGAACATAGTCCTCGCGGTAGACGGGTAAAATCTGGAGCTTGCCTCAGTCTGTAGGCTTCTCCCCCCAGGAGGCCCTTTTCTCTGCTCAAGTAGGAAGAGAGAGACAAACAGTCTTTTGCAAAGAGGATGTTTTAAAATAGGATCATTACCATATTCAGGGACTTATCTCCAGAAGGTGGAGGGTTGAGGTCTCAGAACTTCAGGGAGATTCTCCAGTTCTTTAAGCAAAAGGTGTAAGCCCCAAAGTCTCAGCACCTGGTACCTCCCTGGAACTTCTGGACCACGGCCCTGGAAGATACACAGAAAACAAATGAAAAAGCATATGCAAACTGACCTTCCTCATGGTTCCAGGATGGGGGCCTTCTTCTCCCCATGTCTCCCAGCATTCAACGTTCTCAAACTCATTGGGCTCATGTACCTGAGGAGCTGGGCTGTGCTGACCTGCAACGTGCCGCACCAACAAGTATTTCGAGCCTCCAGGTCAGTAAGGAAGAGGTCTGCTTCACTCAGCGAACTTCTATCCACATGTGCCATGTCTGGGGGTTCCTCCAGCAAGGGGGTCTCGCCATCTCTTTGCCTGTCAAAATCCTGCCTGCCCTCCAATTTTATGTCCTCTGTGGAGCCATTTCCAGTGCCTCACCTTCAGAATTAATTTTTACCCTTCTTGAGCTCACGGCACATTTTTCAAAACTCTTTAATAATCATTTTTAAAAAGCACAAATCATAAACCTTTAGCTTGATGGATTTTCACAAACTGAACACAACACCCAGCACCCAGATCAAAAAACAGAACAAAAATGACACCCAGAGCACCCTACTTGTTCTTAATTCCAATCACTACCGACTTCTAATGGCGTAATCGGGTTCACCTGTTTTTTGGTTTTTGGGTTTTTTTTCTCTTTATGTAAATGGAATCGCACAATATGTGCTCTTTTGTGTCCAGCTTCTTTTAACTCAACTTGTGTTTGTGAGATTCATCTCGTTGAGGACATTACTTTGTCCCTGCCACTGTTGATGAGCCTGTGGGTTGTTTCCAGCCGTCAGCTACAGTGAATAATGCAGCCTTGAACATTCCAAGGGTGAGGCCCTGGAGGTGGCTTCACACAGTAAATAAAATAGGAGGACAGGAACTCAGCAAATGTTTACTAGATGAACAGGTTGGGCTGGAGAAGCTGTCAAGTTCCTCTGAACACTGATTTCCAGATTAAGCTGCATGTGACCCTATGACAGACCCAGCACTGGGAGGAGGATTCTTTAGTTTGCAGGCAGTAAGGGTGACAGTTTCTGTGTGGGTTCTTTGGGCATATACATCCCTGGCAACTGGCTATGGAGTGAACTGAACACATGGCATTTGTTTTCTTTGCAGATCCAACAACTTCTATCTGGCAATGCTACTGTTTATGCTATTCCTGTGCATGCTGCCAACTGTTTTTGCTATTGTCCGATACAAACCATCTCTAAACTGTGGGCCATTCAGGTAAGTTATTTCGGTTCAGTCACCTCTGGCTAGAGCCACTGAGAGCTGTGGGGAAGTCGAGTCACACTGAATTGAATTCTTCTGGCTTACAGGACAGGCAAACAGCATAAAAAGATCTCGAACCCGCATCTTTTGAATCCAAGATCAATGCTCTTTCTGTGGTAGCAGGCTGCCCTGGAGTAAAATCATCTCTGTGCTCATGTTAAAAAGATACAGCCCTTTTAAAATAAAAAAAGGAAAATAACATTGCTCCTCTGCTAAAGAGAAATTCTACCTGGTCAAAACCCAGAAAGTTCTTACTAAAAGATAGTCCACATCACTTTTTATTCTACGTTATCTAGCTATATCCAGGCAGAAACCCCCAGCATTATCTCAACGCAGTATTTACTTTAAGTCGTTTGATACAACACATATATAACAGAGCCTATTAAACCATACACACACACACACACACTGTGATTGTTGACCACACCTTCAATCCTACATATTAATTAGATGGCTACTTGATAGAAAGCCATCGTAGGAATGTTGCGCATCTCTTACGTAAATTCACGTATTTTCCTCTAGGCATCCAGCCAGTTTTTGATGTCTTGTAGCATCCTTCTACCAAAAGCACTAAAATCTGGAGTAATGGTTTTCTTTCTTACAGTGGACAAGAGAAAA